CCATTTCATCTTCCCTGTAGAAAGTAAAGAAGTAGAGAGCTAAAGGATAGGTTAAGCTATCACTGAGAATCATCTAGTCCACTGAATTCAAATGGTTTGACAATTAATCCACACCAATTTCCATCATTTAACTAATGTGCAATGATTCAGTCCTGACAGTCTTTTTGAAATTGCATTGCTTAAGACATAAAGTGTAACAATCTTTTCTTTAACCTGAATGCTCAAATTACTACATTTTCATGTCTTTATAATCTAGTTGACTCTCAACTACTTGACTATTGACACAGTGAAGATGCTTTCCACCCTTAAGATCTTTCCATATTTGTCATGCTACAATGTCAAACAATCAGCATATGAACAGTACCATTGATCGGCATACCCTATAATTGTAGTCATAATGAACTTCTTGATAGAATTTGTTCTCATAATGTCCTACATTAATTTTCCATGTCAATGTCTTACTATTTGGGTCTGAAATTTTGAGACATGTAAGTTGTAACAATCTACAAAAGGTAAAAGCTATCTCCAAGCCTCAAGTATTTATAAGGGAGAAAAGTAATAACATTAATGTGTTCACCCAGTAGGAAATTTAATACACTTTCCCAATGCCCTCAAAGGACGTCACCTTTCATATGTTACAACCATTACCATCGTAAGATTGCTAATCATCCTTTTTTTGTCAAGCTGCAACACCAGAATGCCCACATAAGGAATGACGCTATTCAATTTAAACATATGAGCCATAATACCATCTTAGTTCCTTCAGCTTTACCTGCTTTAATTTCAAGCTTTATTTAATTGTTTCTTTATTTATTGTACATTTGAAACGAATAACTAGAACAATATTGCAGTGTCTTATTCAAAGTGTAAGCAATGGACTAAAAAAGCAAAGCATAAATTACGTAGTTATGGAAGCTTATATCATAGCAATTAATTAGTTCATGGCCACCATATTCTAAGTTATTTTTTACATACTCATTGTAACTCTGTATCAATGTGTGGCTATGTGGTTTTGAATTGTTATATAGATGAACAACCATAACAGTGAAGGAATGATCAAGGATATTGAGGAAGAAATTATGGATTTTGAATTTAAAGTTAAAAGGTTGGTTGATTTTGAAGTGGCTAATGGAGGTTTTATAGACTTGAGCCTTATGTTACAAGATTTGGAACATCGTAAGTACATGTGTATTGTACAAATTGTTTGTATGATTGCACATGCAATTTATTAATTGGGAGAGATTTCAAGACTAGTTAATAAACCTATAAGTAATGGTAATGTTCAAAGAGAGAGCATGGGGAGAATATTTATGTAAAAATTACAAGATATAGAATAATGTTGTGATGTTCTTCGCATAGGACCACAAGCATTTTTGCAATTGTGTGAGATACTTCGAAACACTGACATAATTAAGGATTCTCAAGATGCTACAGTTGAAGAGCAGGTGGCAAAATTTCTTCACATATTAGGACATAATGGAAGAAACAAAACAATAGCTTTTTTCTTTAGCCAATTCGAGGAGACTATTAGTCGTCATTTTTATAATGCATTACAAGCTATTATTTCTCTCAAGGTTGCATATCTTGTGCAACCCTCTAAGTCAATGATTCCTCCTAAAATTCCGACCAATGAAAGATTTTACCCATATTTTAAGGTATGTTTTTATATTTGTGCATATTGTTAAAAATTTTAGTTGTGTATGTATATAAATGACACCATTATTTTTATAATAGGATTGTATTAGAGCTATGGATGGAACTCATGTTTGAGTAAAAGTACTCAGAGAAGAAGCTGGTCGATTTTAAAGACATAAAAATTATGTTACTCAAAATGTCTTTGCTACGTGTTCATTTGATATGAAATTTACTTATGTATTGGCCGGATGGGAAGGAACAGCCTCAGATTTAAGAATCCTAAAAAATGCTTTATCAAGAGAGGATAAACTTATAATTCCCCCGAGTGAATAAGTAGCCATTGTATATTATAAATTATTGTTTGCTTTTATTGACTAAAAATGCTTATGGACTAATTTATGTTGTTGAGGGAAATTTTATCTTAGGGATGCTGGTTTCCTACTCGAGCATGGTCTAATAACACCTTACAAAGAAGTGCGATATCATTTGAAAGAATATTCAACAAGATGACCACAAACTGCAAGAGAAATTTTTAACCATGAACATGCATAATTGAGAAATGTTATTGAACAAACATTTGGTGTTTTGAAAAAAATATTTCCCATAATTAGCAGTGGCATCAAGCCACATTATGCTTTTAAGACTATGGTTGACATTGTGATAGCTTGTTACATATTACACAATTATTTGATGGGTGTTGACCCTGATGAGAATTTAATAACTCAAGTTGATCATGAACTATCACGCAATCATGACATGGATGATCAAGTTCAACAATGGCACCAAAAAGGAAGAAATCAACAAAGGACAATTTGTTGGACTCTTGAAATGGATGAAAAATTTATTGATGTCTTATTAGAAGAGACAATGAAAGGAAATCATCTTGATGACACATTCTCAACATTTGCATATGACAACACAATGGAGACTCTTAACAGTTCCTTTAGGTCTCACATTACAAAACATCATTTGAAGATTATAAATAAGACATTATCACAAAGATTTTCAGATCTTTATGATTTATTTCATAGATTAAGCAAATTCTCATAGAGTCTTATCACAAAATTGTTTGAAGCAGATAGTCAAATTTGGAATGATTTGAATGAGGTGAGTAATATATTTACAGTTAATCTATTTATATTAATAGGATGAATATTTGGATGGTTTGATTAAGATGAGTAGTATATTTATGTAGCCATATCTCTTTTAGTGTTTGTAGAAAAAGCCAAGCGCAAGAAAGTGAAAGAATACAATTGTATTATGTTATGACAAATTATTTGAGCTATTTAATGCATACAGGGCAATAGGAAAATGTGCTAAAGGTACTAAGGAAAGGGTTGCCCAATGGGAGCAAGGGGGCAACCAATTAAATGACTCTATTGCAGATGCAACTAATTGTAATTATCAACACGAGTCACCAAATTTACCAGTTAATTTGGAGTGTATCCCAACATGTGGGGCATCGATAGGAACTACATCAGGCAGAGGACAGAAGCATAAGGCTTCAATAGTTGAAGCTATTAAAGAAATGTGTGAAAAAATGACAGTAGGAATAATGAAACTAATTGATGTTATGTGAGATAGGAATGGTGTTGCTGAGAGGCAAGTTCAAGCTTCTGAGAGGTAGGCTCAAGCTACTGAGAAGCAAGTTCAAGTTGTTGAGAAAGGCCTTTCAATACTTAAAAAGAGTAGGCCTCGTCATTATAGTAAAGAGGAAGTGTGGGCTGCAATTGAAGAGATCGGAATACTTGAAGAGAATAAAGAAAAATGTTACTTCTTCTTATGTGATGATGAGAAATGTAAGAAAACTTTCTTTAGGGTTCCACAATATAGGCAATTATGGACATTGCCCAATATGATAACTAGAGCTGGAGTTTAGTAAAAGAAGTGTGCACTTGGGGTTGGACTTAGTAGTATTTTTAATTCATGGTGACATGTTGGCTTTTTTTGCTTAGAGAACATGTATATTATATCATGCTTTTTGGACATGTTGGTCTTTTTTATTTAGTGACCATAAATATTCTGTCACAATGCTTGTGATGTATCAACAACTTGACCATGGTGTTTATAATATTTCATTATCAATGTGTTGGAAATTTTGTTTTTATAAGTATCATGTTTTATTTCATCAGTGCTCACTTTTGATTTTAAAATGTGAAAATAACATATTTTTACTAAATTATTTAATTTTAAAGTATAATATAAAAATACAGTTTTAACAAATAATTTGGTTATAAATTAATTTTATTATGTTAATTTTAATATAATTTCAGCTTTCAATTTATTTTTACAAATATAATTACATGAAACATGATATATTTTGATATAAGGGCATTATAGTTATTATGATATTTGTTCATTTTTTTTTTGATATTTTTTTCTATCCATCCAAATAAGAGGAGTGATAATATTTTCTTTTTAGTTTTCACTTCCTTCCATTTCCTTTCTTCTCAACTTTTTTTTTTCCATCCAAATGGAGGGTTAGACTTGGAGAAAATTACAAAAAAAAGTTCATGTGTTTTAATATTTCTCATCCTTTAATCTAAATTTAAAGATTTTGGGTTCAAATTTTTTTAATTTATTAATTTTAAAAATATTGTATCCCATATTGCAGGGTCCTAATGTTGCCATTGGCTAAAAGTATATTTTTCTTTTCTTTCTTTTATTGCGTGGTGTGACCCTTGGTCCAGCAAAACATTTCCCTTCTCATCTTTTTCTTTTATCCAAAAATATCTTCCTCTTGGGGATTTGAGAATCGGGATACTTTAAAGATTTCATTAATCATATATTAACGTCTCAATAAAAATACCTGCATGCATCCACAACCTTAAGTTTAGTGACGCAAATGTAATAAAGAGGGACAAATTTCAGTGAAAAAAATGAATCAGTAACTTATGCTACGAGAAGGTTACAATGACGAGGATGTTGTAGTCATTAGTGGGCATTTAGTCCATGTAGATATTTATACTTCTTCTCACACGTGGAAACATGACATTCAGACTAATGTGACAAGCCACGTTCCTGAGATAATCACTAATTCAGACTAAGACTTCCAACAGCTGTCGTATTTTCCGAAACCATACGGTCCAACGTAGGGACCCATTCAATATAGAACGTCGTGTTGTGTTTAAACTGTCCATTAAACATTTTTGGGGTGCAGCTCTAAACTGGGCTTTGTTCACTAGACAGCTTACATACCGAGGAAGTTTGCTCAAGAATTGTGGGCCGAACCACAAAAAGGCCAGTAGGCCCAACATGACAATGTTGGGGCCGCAGCTGGTTGGTTTGTTCGGCGTCGGGGAATTGTGCGGAGTACTTGCAAGAGTTGTGCGCTCGCAAGTCACTGGGTCACAACTATTCGGTTTTCGTTCGGCTCCCCAAGAAAAGAAGTCCATTGGCAAAAGCACGTCATAAACGGAGGTGAAATGGAGTTTTGTGTAAACCAAGCATGCTGAAAACTGAAATTGAAAGCCAAGGAAAATGGGATTCATGCGCTCTCGCTCTCCATGATTGAAGCAACACTCTCAACACTCAAAGCCGAAGGCTCTCAGTTCCGATCCACATTTGCATTCTACGATGGACGACGCATATGCCAGATCTATTCCTGAGGTAATCGTCGTTCGTGCCTTGTACGTCTGGACACCGCGGGAGATTAAAAAAGAAAATTTTAGTCTGAAATTGTTTCACCACCTTTGCTCGGCAATATTTCTTCACGCGTTTCGTTCGAGTTGATAGCTTCCTTTTAAAAATCCGGATGCAAGATTTATCCCTTTCCAATTCTCAGATGTGCTGCTCCGGTGCTTCTGAGATGGAATCACTTTTTACATACTTTCGGGCATCCACATGGCAGGACTCTTATCAAGTCGCACAAATTAAAACAAGGGACAACCGACATTGATCTCGTATAAATTTGTTCTCTCAGAAAGTTGGCTACCGACTTTCTGTGAATTTCATTTCCACGCTTCACAAAATACACAGGACAGACCCAGCATAACTTGCCCAAAGCGTTCTCAATCTGCGTCTATGATTCAACTAATAGTGTGCTCATTAGAACTGAAATCGTTAAAACTCACTACCTGCACAATTTTTTCCTTAGACAGTATAGTGAATTCTGATACTCTTTTCTTCTTATTTCTTGTTCTTAAATCCTATGTAGGTACTCGATTTCTTTGGAGTGGACCCAACAAAAGGTCTTTCTGATGGTCAGGTACTTGGGTGTATATTTTATATGCTTTTTTCTGGCTTCGATGTAGAAATAAGAGGTCTATACATGTAAGCGCGATTTTACGTTCACCTTCGACAATGAAAACTGTGACGGTCTACATGCTTTCACGCCCAATTTGTTGAGAGTTTTTTTTTTTAAAAATTTTACTTTCATTTTGCAGGTGGCACAGCATGCCAGACTTTATGGTATAAACGGTATGTCTTTTCTAGCAGGGGCATGTACTTGCATCTAATTTTTCCTTTTACTGTTACTCATGTAAAAGTGTAATGGAGAAATGCAGTTTGTCCTGAAACAAATTTACATTTTTTGTATCACTTAATTAGTGACTTTCATTCTTTATGTTGCTGGTATACATGATAGTAATTACTCTCAAAGTAATATCGAGGGAATTCACCTTCTAGCTTTTATTTTCAGTCTTTTATCAATTAAGTTTTCATTTGGTGCCATTTTATTTGCTTCCTGACATTCTCCCCTTTTTCTGTTGCATGTTCCTCCATTTGCTCCACAGTGCTGCCGGAAGAAAGAAGTAAGTATATGGCATCTGATCTTCCTTCTTCAAAATGCTCTTCTTTTCATAATATTTCACGTCTTGGTGTGATCGTTTTGGGCAATTCTTTGACCCTGGCAAGCTTTGTTTTAATCTTCTCAGTCATTTTAGGCAACTAGGTTGCTTCATGTATTAGAATGGAATGGATGGTAGTCATTTGGAGATTGTGCAAAAAGTCCGTTTGTGCATGAGTTGTGCACTTTAAGTTGATCTGTTATTATGGCCAAAAAGTTCCATCTGTTATATCATTGCTAATTGAGGTCTTACGGTTTTAGCTCAATTATTTTTATGTTTATGCCAACCCTTACTGTGATCTAGATTTAGCGTAATGAGCTGATTCTTATGAAATCTCTATGCAGGGGCTCCTTTTTGGAAATTGGTCTTGAAACAATTTGATGATTTGCTTGTGAAGATATTAATAGCAGCTGCACTTATCTCTTTCATTCTGGCTTTAATCAATGGAGAAACGGGCTTAATGGCATTTCTGGAGCCTTCTGTAAGATATATATATGCCCTTCCTAGCTTTGTTTGTTGTTTGAATAGGGAAAATTTTTCATGAAATCACTAGTTCAGATTGCTGAGTGAAGACAATTGATGATTAAGACTAAAATTTGGATATTAGAGATTTAATTGGTGAATTTCAATTGTGAACTAGGGATTCTGATGTAGCCGCTGTACATGTGCAGACCTATAAGAGAAAATCAAGGGGGCAACCGAGCTTAGAAAAGAAATACCAAGCGGGTTAGGATTAATATCCAAAGGGTCCCGAAATCAAGGATTAGATCACAATGTTTGTAGGGTGGCTTAGATGCAGTATAGACACTGGAGTCACCTTTTGCTTGCCTTATTATTCTGTTGTTGTCTTGGTTAGCACTCAAGACATGTTTTGAAAGTCAGATAGAAGTGAGGAGAGTGCTGGTCTCTCGAACACCATTGAGGGACCTGTTCTGTTGCTGTTTAGTTCTTATTATTGTAATCGTGTTCAGTATTAGGGAGTAGGATTTTGGCCAGAATCAATGACTTCCTTTTTGTAACACTGATTCGGTTGTTTTGCTTTAATATCAAAACCTCAGTATTTCCCTAAATTTGTCATTCCTTGCATTTATTTTCTGTTAAGGAATTTATCATAGAGCAGAGTTCTATCAGATTCTATCCAGTTTAGATAGGGTTTCCTGTCCTAGCTTATTGTTTGGTTGTTTCCTAATTCTTGTTGAATGCATGTGCTTGAGGGTTACTATATCATGTGTTATATTGGAACTATATTTTTTTTTTAATTCTTTTTCATCAAGCAGTACACATTCAGTGTTGAATTACCTTATTGAAGTTGAGCTTTTACCATTGCAACTTGCTAGTGGAAGTAGTACAAAATTACAAATTGATGGAGGTGGTTCGACTAGTAACTTGGAGGATTTGATAACTCAAGAAGGTGGACAAAATTTGATGTTTTAGCATAGGATTTGCAATGGCAATGTGAAGAAAGCTCTCAGGAAAATAAAAAATGGTAGAGTTATAGGACTTGATAATATCCTTATTGTAGTGCGGAAATGTTTAGGCTAAGAAGGGGTGTTGTGGCTAATGAAGCTATTTAATGAGATTTTATGATCCAAGAATATACCTGAAGAATGGAGAAGAAGCACTTTAATTCCTGTTTACAAGAATAAAGGGCATATTAAGAATTGTGCAAATTGTAGAGATTAAACTTATGAGTCATACCATTTGATTCATATTGAGAAGGACTACAACATAAGAGATATATTTACTAAGGGGATTAATGAAAAGGTATTGGAGGAAAGGAAGAGACTTATATATGGTTTTCATTAATTTGAAAAAAAAGTTATGATCGTGTGCCAAGAGAACTACTTTTGAAAGCCTTGGAAAAGAAAGGTGTCCATGTTGCATGGATCAAAACTAAAGAAGATATGTATAAGGGAGTAGCAATTGGTGTAAGAACATTTAGTGGTGAGACAAACAACTTTCTTATATGGATTGGCCTATATTAGGGATCATTCTTGAGCCCTCATTTGATCTATTTTTGGATGTTCTAGTTAAGCATGACAAAGAAGTCCCCAATGGGTAACAACTAGTGTAGAAACATTTAGTGGTGGGATAAATAACTTTCCTATAAGGGTTGACCTACATTGGGAACCATCCTTGAGCCCTTATTTGACCTGGTTTGAGATGTTCTAAATAAGCATATACACAAGTCCCCAAATGCATTTTTTTTGCTGATGATATAATTCTCATTGTGGAGTCAAGGGAAGAGATTAACTCTAAATTTGAGTTATGGAGAAAGACCTTGGAGTTGAAGGGTTTCTGCTTGAATAAGAGTAAAGCAAAATATATGCATTGCAACTTTGATAAGAGATCGATTAGTAGTAATTTGGAGGTTAGATTGGGATATCATATCATATCACAAGTGACCAAGTTTAGATATTTGTGAGCAATTATTCAAAATGATAGTGGAATTGATGAGGATGTTTCACATAAAACACAAGTTAGGCAGTTCAAATGAAGAAAGGCTACATGAATTATTTATGATTGGAAAGTACGTAATAAACTTAAAGAGAAGTTTTATTGATCTGCTATAAGATTGGGTATGTTATATGGTAGTGAATGTTGGGCTTTAAATGGATGACAAGAACATAAAGTTGGACTGACAGAGATGAGGATGCTAAAATTGATGTGTGGGTGTACAAGAAAAGATAAGATTTGTAATTATTGTATACGAGAAAGAATTGGTGTAGCATCTATTTAGGAGAAAATGGTATAAAATCCTTTAAGGTGATTTGGATATGTACAAAAAGTCATGGGAGATACTAGTAAAGAGGGTGAAAATAGTCTTGAATCCTATTAAGAGTGGTAGAAGAAGAGTTAGGAGAACAATCAATGAAATTATTGAAAAGATCTTTTGGTTGACAATATATCCAAAGATTTGATTGTTGATAGAGTATAATGATGCCATGCTATCCATATTGTTGACCGTACTTAGTGGGTTAAGGCTTCTTGTTGTTGTTAGTTAGTTAGTAAATGTGCTAAATGTTTCTGTATGAATCTGTCAGTTTTGCCTTTTCTGTCAGGTTTATCAAATGTGTAATCTTCTTGTCTTAATTTCAAATTATGTACAGGTTATTCTAATGATATTGGCTGCAAATGCAGCAGTTGGGGTGATTACAGAAACAAATGCTGAAAAGGCTCTTGAGGTAAATTTCAAATAACAATTCTGAGCTTGCATCATTCTTCTGGACAATATTTTACTTCACATTTTTTGGACAATTTTTTCCCTACCCTAAATTAACTCATTTGGATTTCAAATTATTTATATTTTTCAATTTTCAATCTTAGTTTTTAATGAATTCACTACTTGTACTTGCTTTCAACAACATTTGCCTGATGAAAATGCCCTTCTGGAAAGTTTAAATTTTGAGACTTTTTCTATTTTGGGAATGCTTTATATTGGTCAGTTGAAGTTTACCTCAGATTGATACTTTTTTTTTTCTCTGTATATTTTAGGAGCTACGGGCCTATCAAGCTGATGTTGCAACTGTACTTCGAAATGGTAATGGGAACCATTTATAGTAATACGTGCGAGGCTCTATTAACTATTGATTTGATGAGCTTTTTGGATTTTAACACGTCTGATTCAATGAGTGTGGTTATTTCCTTGCTGTATCAGCAGATTACAATCTTGGAGTTCCTTTTATCAGATTTTTTGTCACGCACTTTGGTTATAGTTTGTTGTGTAGTTCTCTGCTTTGTCTTTGTCGCATAATGGAATATTCTCAACTTTCTACTGTTTTGTTCCTCATTTTGAAGGGTTCAAGGGATTACAATTAAGAAGAAATATGAGATGAAATCATTTTGTATGATTGGTCTGATTTAGTAAATATTCCTCCTGGAGCCTAACTAACTGCTGTTAGGAATTGTATACTTTTTCCTCTCTAAGCATGTGGTTTATATTTCCTGCTTGACTTGTGTCTATTCTTTAGCTTTGTGCTGACAAGTCCTCAAAATATTTGAACTCATTTTTTGTTGATGCCGCATCTTTTTAGACTGTTGTCCATATTCTGAGCATAAGTCCTAGCGCTTGTCATGGAAGAAAGGAAAAAAGAAAGAAAAGGGAAAAACAGTAGTTAATTTGGGTGTCAATTTTTGCTCCATCCATGTTCTTAGTGTGCTGAATTTTCTTTACATGAGTTCTTTCATCTGCCATGGCGAAATTATGAAAATCTTAAATGAATTGCTTAAAACACATCATATTTATGTTTGAGATTGTTTGGATTTTAAAGCAGGATCTATCTTCTGCAGGTTGTTTTTCCATACTTCCAGCAACTGAAATTGTTCCTGGCGATATTGTGGAAGTTTCTGGTAAGCTGATTATGTAATGCCTACAGATCAACTGAATTATTTAAATTTTAAATATTATCCTGTAGGAATGAAAGTCACTATCCGTGTTTTGTCTGTGTATTGAAAAGTTGGGTGCAAAATTCCTGCTGATATGAGGATGATTGAGATGCTGAGTAATGAAGTACGTGTTGATCAGGCTATTCTTACAGGTACACCTGCTGCACATGTCTTACACTAAATACAACAAGAAAAGCTTTATCTTACTATGTGAGGTCAGCTATATGGATTGCTCCACTCCATTGTGTTCTATCAACAGCTAATCCTTAGAATAGAAATTTTAAATGGCTCCTATGTCAAGCATTTTCACCATAAATGAACAATGGTTTTACAATTTAATGTTTGCTTGTTTGGAAGCTAAATGTAGGCATAGTGCAGCTGTAAGGGAAGCAAGCAAGGGAAAAAAACAGAAAAAACTTTCTCTGCATGCATCCTAAGGAGGGATGTGTTCTGTCCATGGCTCTAGAACAGTGCAGTTCCCTCCAGTTTTATTTTATATTATAGATTTATTGATAGATTTATCTTGATAGGATTGGTGTTCATTTATTTTCAAAATTTATATTTTAAAAGCATCAATGCACCCACTCATTTCTTTTCAGTTTACTCTTTGAACAGCTTTAGTTAGGCACATGGAGTGAAGTGGTCCTTTTATTTTATCAGAGTCTTCACGCTCTAGCTGTCAAAAGTTTGATCATTACCGCCCACATACTTAATATTGAAATCGAGGCACAAAGGCATGGTGGCCTTGGGCATTTTTCCATGCTTTTAAGTAAAATGCCTATATGTATAAGTATTTTTTGGCCATTGTGTATCTTTGTATATTATGTGCATACTTGTGCATGTTGTGGAGAATACAAATGCATATGTTACAAATAATTAGTGCTGGTATCATGGGGTTCAAAATCTAGGGTAATTGAGGGCTGGTTTGGGAATTTATTACAATAAACAAGATCTGGAAAAGGAAATATATTTCCAGATCTGACATGGTTAAGAGCTGACTAAATCCCCTCATTATTACCTTGATTTCAGCAATGATTTTGTGTTATATTTCCTCCCTCTAATTTTGTATTCTTTCCTTTTATTCTCTTCTAGTCGTTGGGCATTTAATTCCCTCAATCATTGTATTTTGTTTGCCCTTTTCATTTTCTGGAGCATGCCTACATGCCTAACTTTTCTCTGGCTAGCCTATTTATTTTAAGTTTGTTTCTCTTAACCTTGTATCATACGATTTCACTCAACTTCAATAAAATAATTCCTTGTAATTTTGAATTAGTCGTGTCTAAATTAAGTTTTTGATTTTAGCATTTTATTTATGATTTGAATTACAGCCAGTTATGTTCTATATCCTATGTTTGGAAGAGTTTACAAGAAAAGTACAATAAAATGGATGGCATGGAATGGTTTATAATCCCCACCCAAACATTACCCTAATTGAACAAACCTTTCTAATGTGCTTGTGGGAAATCTTTTAATATTAGATTATGGAGGTATATTTGTATTTTTTTTAGCATAATGCTGGTCATTCTATCCTTGACCCTTCTAATTTGCAGGGTCACTGAAATTAGGTTTTTTGAGAAGGAAGGGTCTTGGATGCTATCTCTTGCTTTTCAATTAAATCCTGACCGAGGCATGCTCACTGATTTAATGATTTTCTTTTTATCGATATGATGATAGGTGAGAGCAACTCTGTGGAAAAAGAGCTTGAAACTACCACAGCAACAAATGCTGTATATCAAGACAAAACAAACATATTGTTCTCGGTGAGAATGATGAATCCTTTGTTAAAACATGTTACTGCCTTGGAATCTGGTTAAAAAAAAAAGATAAAAGTGATTTGGAAATTTTCTTTTACAATCAGGTTTTTACTACGAATCCTATAGGTAATAATGCACAATCAGTGTCACTGCTGAAGTATTTATCTGATACAATTCCTTTGTACACAAAAAAGATTCTGGTTGGCACTTGGTACTATTTATTAACAGATTTTATAGCAATACTTTGGCTTTTCTGTTAACAATTCAAGTGTTAGTTCTATTAATTGTGAAAATTGATTGTCATGAGATGAAGATAGGTTTCACTGAAGTGGTCCAACTTAGTTTTTAGTATGCATAGGCAAATTTTTTTGGTAAATGTATATATAGGCAATTTGATCCTGAATGAGGTTTGTTGGGTCAACTGATGATTTCAGTTTCTTCAGTTCTCCTTCATTTCCGATTTCAGTTTTTCATTGTTACTGAATTATTTAAGTTTCTTTAGGATTAACAGCTTTTGCTGCGAATTATTTCTTATTTTTGTAAAAACCTCTTATGTTATTGCGTTATATTTTACATGTATAAACCTTTTCTGATCTATCTATTGTGAATTTTATATTCTTCTATTCTTATTTATTTTAAGCTGCTAACCAGTGGCAGTCTCTAGCATCCACAATGACCATTTTTACTGGTGCTTCTTATGTTCCGATACATTTCTACCATGGATATTTGAATTAACCAAGTTACAACAACAATAACAACAACAAGTTTTATCCCACTAGGTGAAGTTAGCTGTATGGATTATATAACACCATTGTATTTTATCATTTATTAAGCTTTTAAAACTATTGTTAATCAAGATGTCTCGATCAACAACTTTCAAAAGTGTTCTCTTTGGCTTTTCCCTGCCCCTCTTGATAGGGCTCAAAGTTATCTATTTCACTTTTTTCACTAGTGCCTCCTATAATCTTCTTTGTACATGTTCAAACCACCTCAGACAATTTTCTACTATTTTCCTTCAATAAGTGTGATGCTCACTTTTATCCATATGTGCTCATTTTGAGTTTTGTCTTTATGTGTATGTCCGCATATTCATTTCAACATTTTCATTTCTGCTATTCCAACTTTATGTTCTTGCTGTCTTGTTATAGCCTAATATTCACTACCATATAATATTGTTGGTCTTATAGCAGTTCGATAAAACTTTCCTTTAAGTTTATTAGGTACCTTATGATTGTAAATAATTCCTTTAGTCTTTCTCCAATTAAACCACTCAGCATGTATCTTATGTGCAATATCTCTATTAATTTCCCTATTATGTTAAATAATCGCTCTCAAATATTTAAACTTTTTCATTTGAGGTATAATTCGATCACCCAATTTTACTTTTAAATTATCACTCACTGACCTCTTATTAAAATTATAATGTTGATATTCTGTCTTACTCCTATTCAGCTGAAAACCTTTTGACTACAATGTCCTCCTCTATAACTTAAGTTTACAATTAATCTCTTTGCTTGTTTCCACAATAAGAAATATAGCATCCACGAAAAGCATATATTTAGGGATTTTCTTTTGAATTTATTCAGTCAAAACGTCAAGACTAGGTCAAACAAATAAGGATTCAAAGATGATCTCTGATGCAGTCTTATCTTTATAGGAAAGTCTTTTGTTTTGCCGCTAGACGTTTTTATACCAATTGTTGCTTCCTCATACATGTCTTGTATTGTTCGAATATAGGCAACTTGGACACCTTTGTTTCCCAATGCTTTCCAAAGTATTTTTGTCGATACATGATCATAAGCTTTTTCAAAATGAATGAAAGCTATATGTAAATCTTTACCTTTGCATTGATATTTTTTCATTAATTTCCCTTAATAGATAAATTGCTTCTGTAGTCGCCCAACTTGGCATAAAGCCAAACTGATTTTCAAAAATATCAGTTTCCAATCTCAACCTATGCTTAATCACTTTTTCCCACAATTTCAATGTGTGACAAATAAAGTTTAATCCCTCTGTAGTTAGCACAAGTTTGAATATCTCCTTTCTTTTTGTAAATAGGAATTAAGTTGCTTTTCCTCCAATCATCAAGCATTCTCTTGGACTGTAAGATCTTATTAAATAACTTAATTAACCATCGCACCTCTTCTTCACCCAAACATTTTCACACTTCGATAGGGATACAATGAGATCTATTGACTCTACCATTTGTCATTATTTTTAAAGCTTCTTTTACCTCCCAATTATGTATTTTTTTATATAATGACAAATTTTGTTCTCCTTCAAGAGTACTAAATCCTCCAAGATTGATGAACCCTTGCCATCATTGAAAATTTATAAAAGTAGGTCTCCCATTTGTCTTTAATATCATTATATGTGACCAAAACATTTCCCTCTTCATCCTTTATATATCTTGTTCAAAATTTCTTAATTTTCTTTCCTTTCTCTTACAATCTTATAAATTTTTTGCTCTCCATCCTTTATTTCAAGACCATTATAAAACTCTGCAAATGCTTTAGAACGAGTTTCACTCACCGCCTTCTTAGCTTCTCTTTTAGCCATGCGATACCTTTCCTAATTTTCATCATTATTACACAAATGGATGACTTTAAAACACTCCTTTTTATGCTTGATTTTTTCTTGTACACTATCATTCGACCACGAAGACTCCTTGTGGAATTTTCAGAGAGGAAAAATTGTATTATATCATTCATTTTCTATTGTACAAATTGGTCCTATATGTGCAAATTAAGATAGATAAAAACTGATAAATACTAATAAAGCCAAATTAGTGATCCTAATAAATGCTAATTAGTTACAATAATGACATAATATTCCCACGCTCCTCCTCAAGTTGGATCATAGATGCTAATCATGTCTAACTTGCTTATACAACTCTCAAATGTAGGTTTAGGTAGTCCCTTCATTAGCAAATTTGTAGCTTGTAACTTTGTAGGTAGGTATGTCAGACGTACAATGCCTCCTTTTACTTTCTTTTTGATAAAATGTCTATCCACTTTAACATGTTTAGATCTCTCATGCTGTACAGGATTCAATGTCATGCTTATAGTAGCCTTGTTATCACAATATAATTTCATTGATGGATCAATTTTGACTTGTATTTCTTTTATGACCCTTCTTATCCATGGTTCTTTTGTAATTCCTTGAGCTAATGCTCTCAATTCTGATTCAGCACTGCTTCTGGATACAACTCTTTGCTTTTGACTTTTTCAGGTCATTAAGTTTCCCTACACAAACAAGCAATAGCTAGAGGTGAATCTCCTGTCTCCATAGGTCCCCCCCAGTCTGCATCTGTGTAAATCTCAATTGTCCTTTGATCATGCTTCTTGAATAACAATCCCTTACCAGGTGTACCTTTAAGGTATCCGAGAATCCCATATATAACTTCTAGGTCTCTCTTCCTTGGATCACACATGTATTGACTCACTACACTGACTGCAAAAGCAATATCTGGCCTCATATGAGATTGATAAATCAGCTTCCCAACTAGTCTCTGATATCTGTCTTTATCAATGGTTTCTTCTTTCTCCTTGTCTTCTTTTTCTTCAACTTTATTATCAGAGTTGTCTTCTCCTTCTGACTCCTCAATGCCACTTTTCTTAGGCGGCTTCTTCTTTTTCGAGACCACAATAGGAGTTTCCTTAGGTTTTCCAACCTAACATGCCAATTTCCCTGAGAAGATCAAGTATATATTTCCTTTGAGATACATATATGCCTTGTTTTGACCTAACAACTTCCATCCCGAGAAAATATTTCAAGTTTTCAAGATCCTTAACTTCAAATTCCTTACCACAGATGGTTTTTATCCTCGCTATTTTGTCAACATGATCTCCTGTAAGGATTATATCATCAACATACACAATGAGGATGCACTTCTTAGCTCCCTCAACCTTAACAAACGTCATATAATCTGACAATCCTTGCTTGTAGCCTTATAACTTCAGGACCTTTGAGAATCTGTCAAACCATGCCCTAGGTGATTGTTTCAAGCCATACAATGATTTTTTTCAGTTGGCATACTTTGTCATTTCTGCCTCTATCAAACCCAGGAGGTAAAGTCATGTAGACTTCTTCCTTTAATTCTCCATTTAGAAAAGCATTTTTGATATCTAGTTGATGAAGATGCTATTCAAGGTTGGCTGCCATTGACAATATAATTCTAATAGTATTCAATTTTGCCACTAGCGTAAATATCTCTTTGTAGTCTATGTCGTAAGTTTGGGTGAGCTACTAACTGTGCTTTCAACTTGTCAAGTGTGCTATTAGCTTTATACTTTGGGGTAAAGACCCACTTGCAACTAACCAATTTCTTACCTCTAAGTCTTTTAACAATCTCCCATGTTACATATTTCTCTAGAGCTCTTATTTCCTCCATAACTGCATTTCTCCATTTTGGTATTTCCAATACCTCTTGGATGTTGTTGGGAATAACAACTTTTTTCAAATTAGTGATGAAGGCTTAGTAACTAGGAGAGAAAGCCTTGTAGGATATATGCTTCTGAATCGGATGCAAAGTACAAGACTGAGGTTGTTTCCGAAGGGCAATAGGTAGATCAAGATAAGTAGATTCACTTCTTTGTTCTGAGTCATCTGGCTCACTAGATGGATCAATCTTTGGTACGTCAGCTTTAGGGACTACCTTTGGTTCTGACTTTCTTGGTGCCTCAGGTACAAGTTGCTCACTATCTTTTATTTTCTTCTTTTGAGTGTAAACTAACAACTCCCCCTTTTGTGGTCTTTCCACATCTTCCTCTATTTTCTTGTTTTCCTCCAACTTTGGCATAAGAGAAGAGGTTGGTGAAGGCGGGATGTTGGACAAAGGTAAGGGTGATGGTTCTGGTAAAGGAGATAAGGACTCAAGAAGTACATATTCAGTGTTAGATTTTGGTTCCCAAATTTGAGATTCACCTATATTCTCCGCTTGAATTGAGGAATTGGAATAAAAAGGAGTTTCTTCATGGAAAGTAACATTGAGGCTTACAAGGATGCGTTTAGAAACAAGATCAAAACATTTATATCCTCTTTGAGTAGGAGAATAGCCAAGGAAGATATACTTGATAGCTCGAGGTTCAAGTTTACTGCTTTGGTGGATATGAACAAAAGTCGTGCACCCAAACACATGAAGCGGAAGTTTCAATGTGGGATGTAGGAAAAATACTCTACAATTTTTGGAGGGGGTTTCCAAGGCTAATATTTGACTAGGCATTCGGTTGATGAGATAGTTTACGGTTAAAATGGCACCCCCCAATAAAACTTTGGCATATTGTAAGTGAACATGAGTGCTCTTGCAACTTCAAGGATATGTCTATTTTTTCTTTCTGCAATCCCATTTTGTTAGGTTGCATGGGCACACGTATTGGTATGGACAATACCATGCATCTGGAGAAAATTACTCAAAGATTGGTTGAAGTATTCAGTACCATTGTCAGTGTGTAAAACTCGAATGCTAGTATTGAACTGGTTTTTGATTATGGTGAAAAAACTCATGAATGTGGATGCAACCTCAGATTTGTTTTTCAAAAGGTAAACCCAACAAACATGAGTATGGTCATCAATAAAAGAGAGGAACCATTTTGTTTGAGTACGGTTTGAAATGCGTGATGGTCCCCACAAATCACTGTGAATGGTTGTGAAAGATTTGGTATTTGTGTATTTGGCTCTAGGAAAGGAAGTTCGATGGTGTTTGGCAATTTTACACACCTCATATTGGATTTCACTATGATTCAAGGTCAGGCATAAGGTTGGAAACAATCGCTGAAGGTAATAAAAATTAGGATGACCCATTCTCTTTTGCCATAACATAAAATCATGAACTTTAGAGGTAGATGCAGAATTACCAACAATAGGTGGGTTATCCACTCGAGTGATGACTTCTAAATAGTAGAGCCCCTCGTATTTTTGGGCATTGTCGATTGTCACACCAGATGATAGATCCTGGAAAACACAATGTGACAGGAGAAATTTAGCAAAACAATTTGAGTGCCTGGTCAATTGACTGATTGAAAGTAAATTACAGTCAAGTTTTGGCACGTGGAGGACAGATTCCGAAATAATAGAATCTGATAGATGGATACTCCCTTTTCCTGCCATCGGTGCTAAGGAGCTGTCTGCAATTTTCACTTTAACATTTCCAACACATGGGGTGTAAGTGGTGAATAATTGATGACAATTTGTCATATAATCAGATGCCTCGAAATCCACAATCCAGACCACTGCACTTTGACTCGTCTTTAAAGCTTGAGGGAAAGACCCTCTTTTTGCCACTAATGCCATGGGTGCAGATCTGGAATTATGCACAACACTGCATAAAAGTAGCCAAAACACCACTCCTAGCACTTCAAATGAGGGAAAGGCTTTCTGGTAGACTGAAATCAGAAGCCACAACCTAATATAACTCCGAACCTAGCAAAACAGGGCACTAATAACACCATACGACCTAATATGGTTCAAAAATGACGTACCCAACACTAAATTGTGCTAGATCTGGCCGGAGAGTGCGTCGTTGCTGTCTGAGAAGGTCGCATCTTGAACAGAGCTTCCACGCGCTGTCGGAAGCTTGCTGACATAGTGAGCAGAGGTGGCGCGTGTGGACCACACGCGCTGCCGTTCGTTGTCGCCGTCTTGGGTTTCGCCGTTCAGAGCCTCTTGAGTACGTCTAGGGTGGCGGTGAGATTCACAACTCACTCCACCATTGTCCACACAAACGCCCTCACCTACTGTTCAGAAAGTCTCATTCTAGCCATTCCAGAACTAATCTAATTTGAATTTTTGAGCCTAATGCTCTGATACCATAGGGAATTTTCAAAGAGGAAAAATTGCATTATGTCATTCATTTTCTAATGTACAAACTGGTCCTATATATATATCAAGAGAGATAAAAACTAATAAATACTAATAAAGCCTAATTAATGATCCTAATAAATGCTAATTATTTACAATAATGACATAATATTCTCACACTCCTTATCTCTCGGACCAAAACTTTTTAATTCTTCCAAAACTTGTCTTATAATCTTCCTTACTTTTCTAGCTATATCCTCTCACAAGATGTTAGCACTTCTCCAAGACTCCCAAATTCCTTTAGCCAAAAGATTCCGCTTGAAAATTTCTCACTTTTCACCTTTTAATTGCCACCACCTAATCCTTGAAGTTATCACTTGTTGACACTTTTGGTTTTTACTTATAATATACACATCAATTACAAGGATTTTATTAATAATGTGGGTCTTGAATTCTTCTTTCACTTGCCAATTAGATTTCTGCAGAACGAAACCTATTTTTTCTTTGTAAGATTTTATTATCATAAAGGTTTAATTTTTACTTTCAGGGAACAGTTGTGGTTGCTGGTAGGGCAAGAGCAATTGTGGTGGGAGTTGGTCATAACACTGCCATGGGCAGCATACGTGATTCAATGTTGCAAACAGAAGATGTAAGGATTGTGTTTTGCACACTAAATGCTTTGATTGTGAGGCTATATCTTTATGCCTTTGTCTCAGCTGCTTATGGATGTTTTTCAATTTGTGATCCGTGAACTGGCAGCCTTTTGACTTTGCTTATGATATCCAGAATGAAATCTGGATTTTGTCACTTCTACCAATCAAAGAAAGGAAAAGTCAGGTCTTGCATGTGACGGACAATCAATCATATATAATGGTCTAACATTATCAAGTTTAGTTTTGCTGCCTCTTGGTAATATACATTGTCTTATTGGTATTGGTGCTTGCCTTCTGTTAAATAGGGGTTGTCTCTTGCTGTAGATAGAGTATCAGGTGATCTTAGGTGGATGTATGATTTGGGCATACTTGTGGTAGAGTTCTCTAGGGTGCAAAAGACCTGATTAATGAGGTGGAGATTTAATAATTGTGAAAGATGGATCTTTTTGTGTAAAGCTTGCAGTCATAAGTAGTTATCGGTGTGGTTGAGCTATTCATGCAGCTGAGAAGGGATGATATTTAGTTGGTCAAAATTCTCTTAGGTCTTATTCTTGCACATTTCTACCCTTCCAGGATATGTAGATTAGAAAAACTAACCTGGACTTTCAAACTTGCATCTCGGTGCTAATGCATCTATATTCTACTTTTGGTTGCAGGAGGTGACACCATTGAAGAAGAAGCTGGATGAGTTTGGTACCTTTTTGGCCAAGGTGATTGCTAGTTGTATGCATTACATTTTAGTGTTCATTGTACGTTTGGACATTAATATGCAAGTGTTATCTCGCATTTTTTATTCATTTTATAATTTATAATACTTGATCAGATAAATTACACTAACATTATTGCATTTCCATATTAGCTGCCTAGCAAATTCAGCTGTTGTTATGGTTCCTTTTGAATACTGGGTCTGCATTTTATTGTCTGTCAAGATGCCATTTTTGGTTTCCTCACCTACAGCTGACTTAAATAATTATAACTGATCCTTTTTCAAGCTGTAATATGGTGCTTCAAATGATAAAATATATTGGAGAATTTGAGAAGCATTTGTGTGACAAAACTCTGAATTGCTTACCTTTCAAGTTCACTGTCTCCCAATTTTGGAGATTGATATGGTGCTTCCTAAATTTCTGTGTATTAGGTTATTGCAGGGATTTGCATATTGGTGTGGGTTGTAAATATCGGACACTTTCGTGACCCTTCTCATGGGGGTTTCTTGCAGGGTGCTATTCATTATTTTAAGGTTTGTTATCCTACGTGAGGATTTTTTCCTCGTTTAGAAAATTTTTGCAGTTTCATTGTTCAGTAATATTTTTGCCATGATTTCTACTTGCTCTGGTATCCTGTTCTTTGTCTTTCCCTAGCAGCATGGTTGACTTTTTAATCGTTCTGATGGTAGTTTTTTACTCAACATGAAATGTTTCATTAACTTGTTCTATTCATTTTCTTGCCAGATTGCTGTGCTCTGGCAGTTGCGGCAATTCCAGAAGGGCTCCCTGCTGTTGTTACAACGTGAGTCTAAACTTATTCTTCATTCTCTTTCTCTGCACGGTAATGTTTTATGAGGTGGTTGTATTTTCAGTATATATGAAGATATTTTGGCATGCGTGTTCATGTTGAATATAGATTTTTTCCTCCTAGAAGTTGAAACAAATTGTCTTAAGATTCTTCCATCTGGTCATGCCTCTGATGCATTAATTTCTTTTTCAGTGTGTAGGAGTTCCCATAAAACACAATATACAATCTTAAAGCTATAGCCTATTACCATTTACTTATGATATAATTAGGGTAGAACAACTCTGTATTTTATTCATCTTTACATATATAGAAGAGATGAAAGGAAGAGAATTTACACAAATCACCTATATCTCTCCTATTATCTTGGTAAATCAAATCAGATACTCATAAGAGGTAAAATCAGATGCGAATGACAGATAACAGATCTTATTTACATAAGGAAAAATAGGTCTAATCTTGATATGGGCTGTAGCAGCAGGCCCTCATCCAACAACTTAGATATTGTTAATAATAGACATGGTGTAAAATATTGAAGTCAAATGTTTAAGCTTTTATCTTTAAAATAGATCATCTAGTTGCCTCTTGATTTTAGAGAAGGCTGTGCTACATTGTTCTATTTCCATCAGGGCATTAGTAGTAGTTTTCCACTTGATTTTTGCATTGCACAGAAATTCTGGATTACTTGGTTCCTCAGACTTATAACATGTCATTTAACATAGATCTACTTGGGATAAAAACTAAATTTTCTCCCTCTTTTGATTTGATTACTTATCATGATATTACAGCTGTCTAGCTCTTGGAACAAAGCGGATGGCTAGGTTAAATGCTATTGTGCGGTCTTTACCTTCTGTGGAGACATTGGGCTGCACTACTGTAATTTGCAGCGACAAAACTGGAACTTTGACAACCAATATGATGTCTGTGACAAAGGTGATCTTTGCTTGGGATTAAAATAGTAAATTTCAATTCTCATGCTCTTTGCATGGATTTTATATATTGCCACAACTGCTGATCTGTCAGTGTGATTTTGCTATCCTTAGTGGATGTTTAATACCTATTTTCAAAATTTTATTTCTGGAGTCTGGAGTCAGTGATACAGCACTCTTTTAAAATAGGAAAAATGCAATCATTGGCCCTATAGATTTATCGGGTTTTGCTTTTAGTCTCTGTAGTTTTTTCAGTATTTTTAGTCTTTATAGTTTTAGAAAGATTGGTTAACGTTTGTTACTCAAGTTCCTATAGTTTCAGTGTTTTCAGTCCTTTTCTGAAAAAACCTACAGGAACTAAAAGTAAAATCTGATAAAACTGTAGGGACTAATGATGTGTTTTCCCTTTGAAATATTTAGCAACAAAGAATATAAAGCCCTGATGTAGGACTTGTTGAGGAAGAAGGGAGGGGGGGATGGGGTAATAAAGAGAGAGGTAGAAGAAATCAGAGAGATAGAGGGAGTACGAAGGGAAGAAAGAAAAGAAAGAAGTATATGAACTATTTTCCAAGGTTATAAATTTTACCCATAAAACCACTGGTCATAGCACGCTAATATTCTATCCCTTTCATTGACACTGCTTAAATAAAATAAAAGCTGTTTTTAAATGTTTTAGGTCTAAATATTGAGCTCTGTAAGATAATCATTTCCTGAGAGAATTTTTGCTCCCCTCCCCCCTTTTGAACTCAATTTTTGCTCTCCAGATTTCTTATAGTCAAATATTTCTAGCAACTTTCTTTGAGAATTCCTTCACCTTATGATTCTCTGTATCCACAGATATGTGTGGTTCGCTCCGCAAAACATAGTCCTGTTGTTACTGAATACAATGTTAGCGGAACAACATATGCACCTGAAGGCATGATCTTTGACAGTTCGGGAACACAGGTGATATTCTTTATGATTCTCAGATTATAACATTCATGCATGAGCAAAATACCCGCTTAAATTCTCAAAGACATCTGACTAACTAACTTGGAGAAAGGGGATCAAGGTACCCTGAGGCCATCCTTAAAACAAAGTCCATGCATCTGATTCTTTGAGTTGGGAATGTTGTTATTTTCCTTTACAGTAGACATGTAATGCTGCTGTGATCTGTAAGTTTGGTGTTAGTCATTACTAACATTGGGAAAAAGCATTTTCCAAAACATACAAGTCTGTAATACTTGGGAAAATATGGGTTTGAGCCAGAAATTTAAAGACCGATGGACTTCTATTTAAAATGATAACAAAAAGGCTCAGGTGGCTTCTGTTTCATTATTTCAGAAAAGTAATGGGTACGGTATCACAACCTTTTTCTTTATTATAATCAATATTGGCATAGGCATGTCGGTCTTTTTTGTTAGTAGTGCAACTTCGTAACATTTAATTGTTTTACAGCTTGATGTTTCGGCTCGATTGCCATGTCTTCTTCACACAGCAATGTGTTCTGCACTTTGCAATGAGTCCACCCTGCAGTATAACCATGACAAAGGAAAGTATGAAAAAATTGGAGAGTCAACAGAAGTGGCACTTCGTGTCCTGGCGGAGAAAGTTTGTATTTTTAACATTTTTCTTGTAATTCCTGTTTATGTAAACGGTATGCTTGAAGCTACTTTATAGATCTAATGTGTTTCTTTGGTTTTTCAGGTTGGTCTCCCTGGTTTTGATTCTATGCCATCAGCCTTGAACATGTTGAGCAAGCATGAGCGGGCATCTTACTGTAATCATTATTGGGAGGAACAATTTAGAAAGGTATGCTTCAGGATACTGGTCAACTTTTCTTTTCTATTAGTATTCTTTCATTAACATCTCAGTGTACTCATACACCTTTTAGGAAATTATGGATATAAAGTGTGCCTCCATATGTACTATTTGTTATTTTGTCAATTTTCATGCTTTTTGATGATTTGCAGATAGATCTGTTGGATTTTTCTCGGGATCGGAAAATGATGAGTGTCCTTTGCAACCGAAATCAGCTTCATGTGTTGTTCTCCAAGGGTGCTCCAGAGAGTATCATGTCTAGATGTACAACCGTCATGTGCAATGACGATGGCTCCCTTGTGCCACTTACTGCTGATATTCGAGCTGAGCTAGACTCAAAGTTCCACAGGTTGCATTTCTATTTATGTTTATCCATGCTCTATTTTTTAACTTTAACTTCTTTATCTTTATTTTTAGTTGTGGTGAATTCTAAATATATGATAAAGAGACTCATGAGCTATTGTACACAATGTTTATGCCAGCTTTTAGGATTGGCTGATCCTATTTTGGGAGAAATAGGAAGGATTAGTGAGTGGTTAATCATGTTTATTGAAAAGGAAAAAAAAATAAAAGAATAAAAAAGCTTCCCCAATTGACACCTAGTGCATGTTTGTTTCTTTGAACCTTTCCTTAGTGCCAGAATATCGACATAGTGAAATTTTTTTCCTCCTTGGCTTCATCAGAAACTAATCTTAATGATATACTTCCTCTCATATTCAAGTTCAATCCTTGTTAGTTATAGGTTTAAAGACTGACCCTATCCCATCTTTTTCCCGTTACATTTACAAAACCTTCTTAAATGTCCTTGAGGAGGTGGCTTAAATACCCAAACCATCACCTTGTTGTAGACACATTGTCCGCCTTTTAGATGAGGTGCTAGGTATCCTTGTTGAAATTTTGCCAGACACTCTATTGTAAGAAACAATTGAAAAATGATGGCTTTCTTCAAACTGCAGTGGGATTGGTCATCATAACCATTAGATATGCTGCTTCCCTACTCAAATCCTCCTGTTTATTCTCATGTGCTCCATAATATAGCCAGTCTCTCACCTGGCCAAAATGACAAAACTGAAACTCAATCAAAGTTTCTGGTCCGGTTTATGAGATATCAACATTAGCCAAACTTGAAACGTAATATCGCTAGTAAGTCACATAACTTGAGATAGTTGCAGCATCTTAGGGATACAATATTAGCAGTTAATTTAAGTCCCATTTGGAACAACGTTATTAGGCATGTGCACAAAGCTCAATAATTCAATAGATTTTGATTATGATTTTTGAACTTTAACGGGTGCTGCAAAAAGTTTCAAGGTTCTTGGAAATGAAAGTTTAGCTCATTCATTGCCACGTTCATCAATGAAAATAAATTTGAGTACCTAAATTCAACCAAACAGCAAATTAAGGTCCTTTCATTCACGTACTTCCATTTATCATGTCACAAAATTACTGTTCGTGTGCTGCTTCTGCCATGTCATTTGAGTCCTTGAAGTTCTTGATGCATTTTCTGTGCTTTGTCTGGACTCTTACTGTTCTTTATTCTGTCCTTTCTTGGTTGTTGGGTTTTCCTTTTGTCTATGTTGTTAACATGTTTATTGGTCAGTTTTGCAGGAAAAGAAACATTGAGATGCCTAGCTTTAGCCCTGAAATGGATGCCTTTGAGTCAACAACGCCTTTCCTATAATGATGAGAAAGATCTTACATTTATTGGGTTGGTATGCTTTCGTTTCAAAGGGGAATGCAAAATTCAAATATTGTTTAAGTTGGCCTATCCTTTATGATTAATGCTTTTTTTTTTTGGGGGGGGGGAACGGTTATACTGGGACATTTGTTAGAGACTAATAAAATCAAGCATAGGCCTTTACTTAAGTTTCAACTTCAGACTTAAAATGATGCTTGGCATGGTACTGTAGCCTTTATCACGAGGGGTCAAGACCCTTCAGTTCAATCTTTGCCACCATTCATTTTCTTAATTAAAATTAAGTTGCAGCCTAAGATATGATAGGCCTGTGCTTTAGTAAGGCATCAAACCTACATAGGCTTTCACAAGAGAAGCTATGGTAGAGAATATAAAACCAATCACAGGTCTTTACTTAATAGCTTTAGCTTTAACTAGAAATGGTTCTCAACAACTTCTAATGAAGCTATCTGTCTTCCTGCCAGTCTGTTATTTTATAGCAACAACTGCTTTAAGCAATAGCTATGTATTCTGTAAGCAGTAATTGATGCAAGGCACAAACTCAGACATTATGGTTGTTGCTGACCTTGTAAGTTAATACAAATTTTGGCTATCAATAAGAAGTGTAGAGTGAAGCAAAGGAGCAATTACAGCGTGGAATAAACTCGAAGGCTTATGAACTTTACACAATGTCATAGATACAGAAATTGATGCTCAATTAAGTATGCAATGTTTGCACTTGAAATTGGACCTGAATGCATAGAAGATTTATTACTTAATGCAGCAAACTATATTTTACCATGTATTGTTCTAGATAATTAGCTAGATAGAGGGAGAGAGATATTGTTTTCTTCCTCTAAGGAAAATAGTAGGTGTTTTTGATATGAACTGAAGTCACTACTTAATGCACTCGTTTTATGATGAGTTTCCCGAACTTCTTGCACATATGGAACTCAATTTGTGCTGATGCTAGTTTGCTGTCTGAAAATATTCAGTTTCATTAGTTGACTCACTCATGGTACTTATAGAGAGAGATTTTTTTTTTCCCCTTCCCCTAAGGAAAAGATAGGTGTTTTATATTTGAACTTAAGTCGCTACTTAATGCATTCATTTTATCTTGATTTTCTTTAACTTCTTTCCACATGGAACTCCATTTGTGCTGATTCTATTTTGCTGTGTGAGAATATTCAATTTTATTGGTTCACTTACACATGCTACTTCTACTTTATCATTTCAGAGTCACTCTCTTAAGCTTTTCTCTAACATGTAGGTTGGAATGCTTGATCCACCAAGAGATGAAGTAAGAAATGCGATGCTTTCATGCATGACCGCTGGCATACGTGTTATAGTTGTTACAGGGGATAACAAGGTGATCAAACTCTTGGGAACCTTTTTGTTCATTTTTAGCATTCAACCTTCAATATCTATTAATGTGGGAAATTGATTGTTTAAATTAGTCAACTGCTGAGTCACTTTGCCGCAAGATAGGGGCTTTTGACCACTTCTTGGAATTTAATGAACATTCTTATACTGCTTCTGAGTTTGAAGAACTTCCAGCTCCGCAGCAAACTCTTGCTTTGCAACGTATGGCTCTTTTTGCCAGGTAAATTGGATTTTATCTATCATCATCTGATAGATATTTGAAAATCTTGTATTTGTTTTAGATCAACAAAAGCATATTATATTATTGTTCTCTTCGCTCAACCTTTTGCTTGAGAATTCATTGTAAAAGTTACATTTGCTCATTGGACTTTAGGGTTGAGCCATCTCATAAAAGGATGCTGGTTGAAGCATTGCAGCACCAGAATGAAGTGGTATGGTTAAAATAAAAGTGTTTTATTGTTATTATAACAGTATTTATTGTAGATCTAGTTTATAGTTGGCACAGTTACAAGTGAGATCTAGTTTATAGTTGGCACAGTTACAAGTGAGTTCTAGTTATATAGTTGGCACAGTTACAAGTGAGTTCTAGTTATATAGTTGGCACAGTTACAAGTGACACTAGTGAGAACTATTTTCTTGGCTGCAATCAGAATTTAATAATCTTTTAATGAAGTTGTTAAAATCAGTTGTAATAATGGATATTATGCATTACTTATCCTTGAATTTGAGTTATTGTGGGATCAATAATTTAGGTTGCTATGACTGGAGACGGTGTCAATGATGCACCTGCACTGAAGAAGGCAGACATAGGAATTGCTATGGGTTCAGGTACAGCTGTTGCCAAGGTATCGTCAACTGCCAATTTTATTTTTTCCATTTTCTCTTCCTGACTGTAGCATTCTTATGTCAAAAGCCTGTTCAACCTATTGTGGCCTGTGAATGAACACTTCATTGTTTAATTTTTTTTTAATGTTTTGTTTCCCTATTATTGTTAGATGTGTTGATAAAAATGACCACTTACTTACAGCTTCCTTTGTTAGTTGAAGATAGTCTTTCCCATAGTATCAGAGTTCTTTATCCAAGTAATCAAGAGTTTAACCCTTGTCATCCTCATCCGCCATCTCCAAGAGAGATTTTAATAAAATATAGACGAAATGCTACTTGTAAAATAATCATTGGTCTTTACTTAACCACTTAAGCTTACAAGTTGGAAGTGTGCATTCACATCTATTTACTCTAGTTTCATCTTGTTGAGCTACCCAAATAAGGTACCACGATTGCTCTAAAGTGCACTAGTCTTGTGATTTTATCATGGCATCATGGGGTTTATGGGATGGTGTTTCACGTTGTTCTTCTATTTCTGGGAAAGACATGAGCCAGAAGATGAATCCAAGCTAAATTAGACATGCAGTTCAATGAACATCTCCAGGATTTTCTTTCCTGTTTATTCTTGAAGTAATTCACTTCCTAGGGGAACCTTGTAATAATAATTTTGTTTTTGTCAAATCCACTTAACAGTCATCTGTGTGTTATTGTTTGGTAACTTATTATTCCTGAGGAACTTTGTGCCAAATGTATATTTCACTCTTATGCTTCACTATATTATCAGAGTGCTTCAGACATGGTACTGGCTGATGATAACTTTGCTACAATTGTTGCGGTATGCTAGCATATCTTTGTTCTTCTAGTCAAGCTTCCATTTTTTTTTTTTTTAAGTTGTCTTTCTCTTAGGTGGGAGGATCATAATCACCTAGGTTCTTTGCAGGCTGTGGCAGAGGGAAGGGCCATATACAACAATACAAAGCAATTCATTAGATACATGATCTCTTCTAATATTGGTGAAGTAGTCTGTATATTTGTGGCAGCTGTGCTTGGAATTCCCGATACCCTTGCCCCGGTGAGTATCTGACTTGCACCTAGTTGGCATCTTATACAGCCTGTTGATTTCTTAAGTTTCTGGATTTTGGAGCTTATAATTTATATTTCTCGTTGGCTCTTCAATTGTAGCTGATAGCTGATAGCTAGTGTATATTTGGATACAGTTCTGTATTACTGAGGAACAAAGCTTTGAAATTCCTTTTTATCCTGTAAATTATACCAGGTCCAGCTGCTTTGGGTGAATTTGGTTACTGATGGATTGCCTGCTACTGCTATCGGCTTTAATAAGCCAGATTCTGATGTAATGAAGGCCAAACCTCGTAAGGTACTGAGGTAGCACTTGAATATTAGGCTTCTACCTGATTTCATCATTCAAGATAAACAGTTAATTTTACATTTATGATTTTGATTTGAAGCATGTAGATTTTTTGTTGGTTTAACCATGTCTCAAGTTTTGCAATATATTCGTTTTGCTTTCTTAATTCTCTAACACTGATGCAAATTATGCTTCTCATATTGTGACACTTTAGTCATTATGAATGTACAGGTGAATGAAGCAGTGGTTACAGGGTGGCTGTTCTTCCGTTATCTAGTAATTGGAGGTGAGCAATGTTGTCATACATCTAGTCTGTGATTTATATCTTGGCTAGTTAGTTTTTTTTTTATCCTAATCCTCTGTAGTATGAGCTTCTTTCTTCCTACCAACAAGCTTTTGTGTTATTTTAAAGAACACAAATAAAAAAATAAAAAGAAAAACTTCATTCTTTTTCTAAGAAGCATCAGTACTTGCCTTCTCCACCCCTATCTGTACCTGGATCCATATCAGATCCAATAGTCCGTGTCCCTCTTTTTCTGTTTCCCCCCTTCAATTTGCTGGGTCAAAATATGGTAGATAATGTGAAACTATATTGGAATATAATAGATTGCTTAGAGGAAGAAGAAGAATTGAAACTTGAAATGCGTTCAAATATTAAAAATATATTTTATGTGCTCAAAACTCACATATAAAGGCTCTGAAAAACTAGAACTTATAAAAAATTTTGGGTATTAAACTTTAAATAATGAATACGCACCCAAGAATATCAAATCTATTGTTATCTATTTTTTCCCCATATAGTCAAATATGTCCTAATAATTTATTAATAACAAGCGATCAAAACCACATCTTTGTTTTTCCAGCAATTGCCTTATTCCTGTATCCTAGTGTTGAGATATAATACATATGCCTCATGCATCCATCACAGACACAGCAGTTTTCCTCAGCAGCCTCATGTTTCTTACAAAACGCTCAAATGGGAAGAAGTGGCATATACTAGTTTTACGCAGTTAGGGAAGGTGTTCTGATTAAAATCTTCTTGCGTTGTCATCAGCTAGTAAAATCTTAATGATGGTTTGCTTAAGGATTCAAATTTGTCAGTCATGATCTAGGGAGCCATCAGCATTAGCCTGAAATGTCAATCTGCTTCTTTTATGGAAATAGTGCATCCTTCTTTTTGGGTTACATTTGTGCCTGATATCATGTATTTTATAAACTCATTTAGATGCCAAAATTAATCAGGTTTAAACTTGCAAAGCACAAGGAATATGGCTAAAAATTAGATCAATTTATTAAGGAAGTTCTTGTATTATGACAATACTTATGTGGAAGACAAAAATTATCAAATTTATTTTTCATTTCCTCTAGAGAAGATATGTGGTCTTAATGTATTCATTGTGCTTAAATGGTTTTATGAGAAACCTTCAACGGATTTCTGCCGGGGTCATAATTATTTTTGGTGCTTCATGCAGCTTATGTTGGTCTTGCTACTATTGCTGGTTTTATTTGGTGGTTTGTTTCCTCTGACAGCGGCCCAAAACTGCCATATACTGAACTGGTAAAATTTTACTATTTCTTCAATTTTAATTATGTTTGCTTTCTTAACAATTGAGACACTCAGAACACATAAAATACTAGTATGAGCTTAGTGATTCTTTTATACTTTGCATTTGAGTACGTGTGAATTAAGAAACACTTGCTACACGGAATTAACTTGAGCATAAACAACTACTTTATGGCACTTGAGTTTCTGATGGAGACCAAGGTAGTATGGGATGCCTTGTCCCACATTGAGTAAGGATGCTCTATAGGTGTATTTAAGTGGATTGGTTCTCTCACTTAAGTAGTTAGCTTTTGGGGGATGTTCTTCATTTTACTTGAGTACTCAACAATTGTGAAAGCCACATTATTTACAAGCCGCAAACAAAATAGTTCATTCTTCGAACTCAATGTAGTGCATAAGAGGCTCACCTAGTTTCAATCAAGATGTTTAGTTATTTATTTTGTTTTGTTTGATTAAGGATTATTTGAGTTGTTATTTTTATATACTGTTTCTATGCATTTAGGATTAGCTTTTTGTTTTGTAAGAATTTTGAATAGGATAGAGATTAGCATTATGTCTTTCAATTGACGTAGGAGTCTACTATCCATTTATTTACCTTCTATACATATAGATGGTCCAATAAAATAAGTTCTTGAGATTATTGAACTTTGAATTTTTACTTTTCCCTTGTGATTCTGTCAAAAAATCTGGTTATACTTATTCCACACATGTTCTCACTTAATGATTCCATCTCAATAATTCGTAGATTTTTTTTCTTGCTTCCAGATGAATTTTGACACTTGCCCAACAAGGCAGACAACTTTCCCATGCAGTATATTTGATGATCGACACCCATCTACTGTAGCAATGACTGTGCTTGTCGTTGTTGAGATGTTCAATGCTTTGAACAATCTTAGCGAAAATCAATCTCTTCTGTGAGTAATTTTATGAGATCTGGCTTCTTTTTCAGTTTTCTATTCCTTTCTGCATATTTTAATGTGAGGGCCATATAATGTCTCTGAACTAATTGAAACATATATCATATCTCAGTTAAAGTATAAATTATTAGCTGAGGGTTGAAGTACCAAAATTTGTGCTGTAACAGTCTTTACATATCTTTTTTCAGGGTTATCCCTCCATGGAGTAACTTATGGCTTGTTGGTTCAATAATTCTTACCCTGCTTCTTCACATGCTTATTTTGTATGTGCATCCTCTCTCTGTTCTTTTCTCTGTAAGTACTTTCTTGTATCTGTGGCCATTTCTGTTTCTCTTGAAGCAATAGCTTTGCTTTTCTGTCACACTCATAAGGAATTCTGAATTGTGATCATTATTTGGCTGTAGGTAACACCATTATCCTGGGATGACTGGTTGATTGTCCTGTATCTTTCATTACCTGTATGTAGCCTTTTCTTTCCCCGAAGCTTCTTCTTCCTCCCCTTCTGATATTTGGGTTACTTTCTTTAAATTTGGAATTCATGGTGTAATACATGTCATCATTCCTGGAACTAAGTTCCTCGATTGAGAGCATCAACAATGTCAGGTTGCCATCTTCTATGGAACGGAAATTTTGAAAATGTCATTACGTCTTTGAAACAAATGTTTGCAATTGATCCACACAACACAACACTTGACTTTGTGTAAATAACTATGTGCTGACTTGCTTAAATAGTTAAACAACTAATTTTTGATGCCGAATTAATGGCTTGATCATTGCAGAACTAATTTGTCATGCTAAACTCCCCATAGATAAAGTTTATATGCCACATCATAATTTGAGTAGTTTCCTTGGATCTATTAGATTTTATGTTGAATTATCATTTTCCTCTTTGGAATTTCTTGACGCTCATTTTTGTGCACCTGGATTGTACTATTAAATATTTGGCCCGTAGATGTGTTTCATTTAACTTCGTCTCCAAATTGTACGTTACCCTGAAATTTATTTAAGTTCAATCCCTAAACCACCTCCTTTTTATGTCAAATTTATTCTCTTTCCTGTTTTGCTGCGTTTATCGTGATGTCTCGGCATATAATGAGATTTTCTTTTTCTTTTTATTTTTTGTGTGGGGGGGGGGGATGCCTCACCTAACCTCCTAATTTTGGGGGCAAAAACGTTTAAAATTTCAATAGGAATTTGGGAAGTGAAGGTGACTTTTTAACCTGATCATTTTATACTAATAAATGCTATTTTTGTTGTCCAGGTTATACTCATTGATGAGGTGCTAAAGTTATTCTCCAGGCGTCCTATTGGTAAATTTTATTCCATATTGTCAAATTTGAGCTGAACTTATGATCTTAGTATTTCTGTATGCTACTTGAACATGACAAATATTTCTAAATGATTTTAGGCCTGAGGTTCAGATTATGGTTCAGGAGGCCTGATTTACTTCCAAAAAGAGAATTGCGTGATAAGTAAAATTCGGAGTATTACATGTGTAAATACTGCATTTGCTTATTCACTTGGCTATACTGGAAGGGTATTTAAATCACCCACCTCTACTTATGTGCATGGCAGTCCATGAGTTCCGAAAGTTACCAGCTTAGAGACAGTATGACTTTGGTTTTGGTTTTGTTGTATCGTCTATAACTTTTGTCATGAAAATGCCATGTGGTGTACAGGGCAAAAGTAGTGACTGGAGGTTGTTGTATTTATTTATTCTCTCTTTTGGAGCCCGCATTTAACCAGTTTTGAGGACTTTAAGTTGGAAAGGTATCATATCATTTGTATATCTTAAAAGAAGTTATCTTTGAATCTTCTCAATGAAATGGGTTGTCTGTTTTTTTTTTTTTTTTGGGGGGGGGGGTTTTGATTTTGGGGGGTGGGGGGAGTGTTGGGAATCCTACTTCGAAGAATTCTGCACGAAACTAGTCGTTCTATGTCAACTTTTGTCCGCTTGTTCGTTACTTCAGCTGTTACATTACAGAAAGATATACCTTTTGAACTTGATCATTCTGAGAATAAATTAGAAAAGATTATTTTTAAGATATTTTGTTGGCGATGATAATGCTGGATATTGTTTAGACTCCTGCCTCGACGACAAATTCGCAGTGATGAATACAATTATACATTAAATAAACGGATTTGGATTCTCTCAATTGAGGTTCTTAAATTAAATCTCAATTAAGGAATATTGACAAGTAGATTATGATCTGATGCTAATTAAGGGGGGTTACAATTTTTTGAAATAAACGGGGGTTTATATATTAACACTATTTTTTTTTTTTAGTAATTATTGAATGCGGTGCCCGGATAAATTTTTTTCGCATAAAGGTTCTAAGATGCATCCGCTCCGTAAAACTTAGAACTCTCCATACCAATAAAAATTAAAAAAGTCTAATATAAAATCGTTTTACAATATTATTGAGATTAGATAAAATTAATAAAATAATTTCCATATAAACTAATTTCACGTGTTATATAGCTAACTAGACACAGCCCCATGCGTTGCACTGGTTGGCAAATTCAATAAAATGTAAATTCAAGTAATGATATTAGAGGTCAAAAACAAAAAAGCCATAATGTGTAGTACTTAATCAAAAAGAAAATAACGTATAACTTAACAATAGTTATTATATGCCGGAAAAAAAAAAAGCTTGATAAGGAAGTTGAGCATTTGTTAACAAAGTTTGCTATATATGTAGCTCAAAATACAAAGTAAAAAGAAAAAAAAATTAACCATTTGCAGTTTTGCATAGAAAAAATGAAATGCCAACTTAAATTTGAAATTGTGTAAAAGATGAATATCATTCATACAATCATGTTGCACAAGTTGGCTAATCCTTAACATATACTCCCTCTACTTCAAATTATAAGATATTTTTAGATAAAATCTCATGTATCAATAAAGTTTATTAAATACACTTTACAACTTTACTTTTTTAAGATAAAAATATAAATTTTTAAAAATACCCTTCATTTAATACTCCATTGATAAAAGAACATTGAAAAAAGAGAATATATGATAAGGATAACATTAAAAAAATGTTATTAATAACATCTTATTTTTATCAAAGTATTTGATGTTTGAAAATGCTAAACCTTCTCTAAAAGTGTCTTATAATTTGGAATGAAGGGAGTAATATATATCACCATGTGCCATGGGTTGGCTAAACACACATATGACTATATTATAATATTACTTTATTATGACACACATATAATTATACTATAATACTACTAACTACAGGTTGATCTTTTGACTCTCATGATATTATATGATACACACATATAAATTTAAATAATGATAGTATATAGTCCAGACAATTACACCATAATAGGTAACACATGGTTAAGAAAGATAAATGAAGTATTACCTAGATAAAACTATTGTATTTGGAAAAAAAATGTTTAATAAGGATGTCATTCATCACTATATAGTTAACTCAAAAACAATTACAAAAAATCACACATTTGTACCTTAAAAGTTTAAAAAAAAAAATTGTAAGGGTAGAGGTAATGAGAGATTTCTTTGTGCATTATATTGATAGTATTTGACATCTAAATGAGTAAAATTGAACTAAATAGCTAATTATTAATTTATATTTCAAACAATTTGATTCCCACATAAACTTCTAGTACGAATAACATGCATAATGCACAATATAACTTTGCCACCAATATAATCTTACCTAACTTGGCCCATAAATAAAAGTAATAAAATTATTCTCCGAAGATAAACAACTAAATTGTAAAATCTAGAATACTGTAAAACAACTCTGTAAAGGCTTGTGACTAACTCATCCTAGAAACTTGCTCAAGCTAATTTATTTATAGGAATAAAAAAAATATTAATGTAACAGGGAATAGCATAGCCACCATACTCACACAGCATCCTTTTAGTCTTTCTCATTTTTTCTTTAATGGCTTACAAAAAGCAACTTGCCTATTTATATCACCAAACAAAGTTGAAGAGGAACTTTTGTGTCACGAGTCATGATGCCAATCAAAACAACAGATAAATATTGGAAAGAACAAACTGAGAGAAGAAAACAAATCCAGCAATGCATCAATGGAATCGAGGTAGGAACATGCAAGAATATCAGTGTAATTTGAAGCATGTCCTGGTCAAAATAGGCAAGAGAACATGTGAGATCAGCCCATCCATTGATACAATGTAATGAGTTAAGTCCTGTGTATCAAATACGAACCATGAAAGAGGGCAAAACAGGCTGATGGGACCTTTTTTAAAAAGCAAACAGAAAAATATTATTGTGCAATAGAAACTAACTGATGGATAAACTATGTAACCTTAATATATTGCATGCTATCATATTATTTATGATATAGGAAAAGCAAAAAATCAATGCATAGGTTACAGATTTCATTGCACAATGCTCAAGGTGTCCTTCCATATCGCCATCCTTTAAAAAGACATCCTATCAATGGATATATAAATATATATATATATATATATCGCCAGTTGTAAGCATACATTAGTTTCAATTTAAATAATGACAAAAGGCAGCTCGAAATCTACTGGTGAGATGCCCCTGCTAGTACATTGCACTTCTCTGTATAAAAACAAAAACATGTTCAAAAACAATAACTTAAAAAAACAATCAAGATATAAGGGAGAAAATTCAATATAATAAATATAAATGTTAGATGGTAATACTCTAACTTACTTTGGCTGGACTCTAGTTGAATAACAAATCCCTCAAGTACAAAAAGATCTGAGCTCTTTATGGAAAGATCATCTGAACCCTCCTACAATTGATGGACACAATGAAATATACAGATAGAATAAGGAACCACACATTATGATTTATAAAACTCAACTGTTTTAATAAGGGCAGGAAACCATAAATTAACTACAAACATTCTTTCTCTTCATCTTTAACTCCGTTCAGTCTACTACTTCCAAAGATTGTGGATATCCAGCACTAATCTCAACCTGAAAGGGAGAGAAATCATTTATAAGAAGCCATCTGATGCTCCATACAACAAATCAAGTGTTAAACTAATAAAAAGAAGTTAGAAATCAGAATAAAAAAATGAAGAGAAGAAAGGACAAGGACAATTCAAGCAAAGCTAATAAAATAGAGCTGTGATATTTGAGGGTGAAGACAAGATTCTAATGATGCCATGGTGGCTACTCAATTTGAAATTCAAATTCAAACTATTACTAATGAATTGGTCACGTGTCAGAAGGAAAGTACTATTATGAGGATGTGTGCAATGAGATTGTTAGTGGAAGTAAGTAATAGACACAACGATAGTTTTTTAAGAGCCAAAAGGAAAATATTATTTTGTAATAGAAAATAACTGATAGATAAAGTATAAAACCTTAATGTCTTATATTCCATCAGATTATATATGATATAGGGACTGATGAAAAACAGCAAGCACATTTCATACTTCAGTGCACAATGCTCAAAGTGTCCTTTCATACTCTATATCCTAACAACCATGTCCTATCATACTTAATAAATATGAAACCTTTATCAATAAATTGAGTAGCCATAGGTGTAAAGCTAATCCTGTAGACTTATATCGGTCAATCAAAAGATTATTCATAATCTATAAATAACAAAATCACAAAAGTAATCCTGTAGACTTATATGCTTTTTAAGTACATTTGAAATCCATGTTCTAGCTTCTTCCCCCCCACACACAGAGTAGCTACCACATAAATAAATAGACGATTGAAGAAGAAAAAATAGGGTAAATAACTAATGATTAAGCCTAAAAAAAGTTAAAAGAGAAAGAAAAAGAAAATAAAAGAATCCTTTGAACATGTTCTTACTCCATGTGGTGTTAGTTCAGTTGTTATTCTTCTTCATCATCACCACCGTGCTTGTGGGTCTGCAGGGAGTCAATGCTTTAAACATATTAAGCACCACCAATCCCATCTTCATTAGTTCTAGGTCACCGTTATTGAGCTCAATTATTCCTTCTGTATCACTGAGCTTATGGAGAGGATTGGTGATAAAGATAAAGAAACATAACAGACAATTAAATTGATGGGTAAGTTTCTCAACTATTTTAATTATGTAGAAGCAAACCTTTTTAATTATTTAGGAAAGAGGATGGTGATTTGGCTTCATATTTATCCTAAGCAAAGTCAATATATGTCATGACAAATTTAAATCCTCGATTATTCTGTTACTTATATTTAAGAAAATAGCAGACAATGGTTTAATGGTAAAGAACATATTATAAAAGTTTAAATGCTTAGGATAATTGAGCTCAGTATTAGTTCAGTTGTTATTCTTCTTCTTCATCACCGCCGTGCTTGTGGGTCTGCAGGTAGTCGATGCTTTAAACATATTAAGCACCACCAATCCCATCTTCATTAGTTCTAGGTCGCTGTTGTTGAGCTTAATTATTCCTTTTGCATTACTGAGCTCATGGAGAGGATTGGTGATAAAGATAAAGAAACATAACAGACAATTAAAATGATGGGTCAATTTCTCAACTATTTTAATTATGTAGAGGCAAACCTTTTTAATTATTTAGGAAAGAGGATGGTGATCTGGCTTCATATTTATCCTAAGCAAAGTCAATATATGTCATGACAAATTTAAATCCTCAATTATTCTATTACTTATATTTAAGAAAATAGCAAACAGTGGTTTGATGGTAAAAGAACATGTTATAAAAGTTTAAATGATACATTTTAAACCATTGGCATGTAAAGTGATTGGCATATAATTCAAAATAAAGGAAAATCCTCAATCTACCTACCAATCCTTTCAACATAAAATACTGTCAAAATCTTATTAGGAAATAAAAATGGCTAATGACATCGATACTTGAGCATAAATACAACAAAAGGGAGTGAAGAGAGACCGAGATGACCTCTTTGGTTCCTTGCTCTAGCAATGCCAATGGCAGCAACTCCTATAGTTTGAGGTTGATTATTCTGTCTCTTTCTTCTAAAAGAATACGTATCATTTCTCCTTCTCTTCACCATAATTCAACATCAATCCTTGATCCCTGCAGAATAATGTAAAAATGACATTTTGATAGTTAGAAAGCCAGACGCGGGGAATATAATAAATGGTTAAGATTTGATATCTTGGTGGCTAGATGATGAAGTTCACAAGTTGTTCCATAGATTCAAACAATCAAGATGATGCCTTTCAGCTCTTTAAGATAATATATATCTTTAAAATACATAAAGCATGTATATTGGCTGAAAGTGTAGAAAAATTGAAGCAGCCCAGGAAGAAAATGGGAGAGATTAAGTATTTTCCTTATGAGTGACGACCGTTTTTTGAAACACAAAAGGCAAGAAAAAATAGACAATCATTTTCTGGCTTGTCTATGGTGTAACTAAATTTCTATTGCCGACTTCAATTTCCCGTCATGTCCACAGCAGAGTAATGGGATGAGATGTAGAAGGAAAGATGAGAGCCCATACCTACAGTAAAGGAAGAGGTGGTCAGAGGAATCAGAGGATCTGTGGCTTGGCAGAAGCAGTGGTTGGAGTCGGGAGAATTAGAGAACCTTTCCTCAAATGTGAGTTGAGTGATTGAGCTTATAGGAGAAGTGAGGATGCCGAGACAAAGCAAATGGCTAGGAAAACAAATGATTCTGGTTTTGTGTGGTTGAGCGATTAGGCTTGTAGGAGAAGTCAAAAGCCGAGTGCTATTGCCCTCTGAAAAATGATGATAATGCCGTACAAAATAGGCAAGGAAGTCTTGTAAAAAATCTTCTCCCAGATCCATGTATTAATTAAACCTCCCCTCAGCCGTGCGTTGATGGTGTGAAGCTGACACTGTAGCTAAAGCTAGGTACTGTTCATAGAGCTGATGAACAATGTTTAGTGTCTGGAGCCGTGTTTTAGGAGCGGCTTGCCTGGAATAGATTTGTTATCAAGATTGATTTCCATCCAAATTATTGAGCTGCAAATATTAAACACGAAAAAACCAGAAAAATGATAATTAGAGATCTTGTAAACATATTATTGATAATTAAAGACTTTGAAATATTGAAATGTTATGGAGAAATTATAGTTTTTATTTTCAATTAAAATACTTCTAATTATTGAAATAATCAATAGAAAAATACTCATGAATTTGAAGTTTGACTCTCTGTAATTAGGATAAAAGTAAAAATTTAATTATAAATTATTTTTTATAAAATATTAAATATTTTGTATCATGAAGTGGTGTGAAATAAATCATTAACTAACAAAAACGTAGCATCTATGACCTTCTGTCTATTTATGACTCGCGGACGCATCCACATTTTCGTACTTTGTTTAATGTGTGTTTTGATGGTGCGTGTGTAGATAAACAAAGCTTTGTTACCAGCAGAAGTAATCCAGCACATGAAGGAGCTGAGAAACAAGCTCGGTTTCAACAAAGTCCGACGAGTTGACGGTGGACGATGCTTCTGATAAGGACGTCAAGTTCTTCATCAATGCCTTGCTTTGCTACAAAGATATGTTCGATTTCTTGCCGAATCTCATCAAGACGTTGGGGGCCAAGTCAATCTTCCTCGCTGCAACACCTTACTGATGACAATGGACTCAAATTCTGAGTTCGAGTTCGAGTTCGAGTTCAGCATTAAACAACCTTCACTCTAAATCATCATCTGCAGATAAGCTTTTCTCCAACGGTGTCATCCTTCCAATCCAAAATCAAAACCAACCCTCACAAAGAAAACCACCCTTCGTGGTGAACCTCCTTACACTAGTTAGACTCCCTCATTGTCTTTATTCATCCTCCATTGAGAAAACTCAGAAATAGAGCACCAAGGAATCTCATTCCAACTCTTTTTGAAGAAGCTTGTGACTGAATTGCTTGTACATGAGCTTGAGAAACATTCCTTATACTGACTATAGACAGAACTTGGAAGAAGGAGGAGAGAGAAATGAAAGCCACTACCAAAGAAAGAAAGGAGGAGAGGAAGAAAATAGATTGTGAAACAAGACGAGAAATTCTGGAAGCAAAGAGAGGAGTAAAAATGGAAGAGGAGACGAGGAAGAGATTGTGAGAGGAGAGGTAGAGGAGAGGATGAAGAAGCAAATTGGAGGGCGATGTTGGCATGTGCTGTGTGATGACGATGATGTTGTTGTGCCATGTTAATGGATGGGCAAAGGGAAATGAAAGCCTATCTCTCTCTCAATTAGAACTGGTAATTCGGGCTGACCCCAACGGATTAGCCTGAATTAGCCCAAAAAATTTCAGGACCGAGCTTTAAAAAAAAAAATTTTATATTCGGACCGACTCAAATAGGCCCAAAAAAATTTAGGTCAAGCCCGATTCCGTTCAGGCTTGACCCGAATACCCGAATAAAATTTTTTTATTTTTAAAAATATATAATATATAATAAATATTAATTAATTCTTTAATTTTTAGGTTATTTATACTAAAATATCATATATTTGAATCCTAGACGTCATTTAAGTATTAAAAATGTATATTTTATATTTTTTATAAAATAAAATAATTAATTTTAAAGTAAAAAACTTAATTAAAAATAATTTTAAAAATAAAATTTGGGTATTCGAGCCACCCAAAGCCCGAAGGAATTTGGGCCGGGCTTGGCCATTCGGACTTTTTAAAAAAACGGGCCTGTTCGGGTCGGGCTTATTTAGCCGAACCCGAATAAGCCCAGCCCGCCCAAAATAAATGGGAGCTATTTCAACTTCTGCCATGAATAAACGGACATTAGGAGTACACTAACGACAGGTTGTAATTGCTACTTCATCTATTAAAAAAATATAAAATATTTTTAATTAAATCTAGCTTTCAATAAAATAATTATTTATCTTTAAAGTAACCCTATTTTTTCATATTATATCTATTTAATGGGATGTTTTATCCTAAAATAAATATAAAATAATTTATTTAATAGGAGTATTTGTTTTATTAAAAATTTCTTACATTTTTTAATATTAACCCTTCAAAAAATACCTTATATTTTAAAAGTGAAGAGTATGTTTTTCATGGTAGATAATTTATTTTGCATCATATCACAATATAGGATATTCAGTGTTCTTTAAAAAAATAATTTATGATTAAATTTTTACCTTTATGATTTTCATAAGTGACGATGTATATATTCAAAAAATTATCTATCTATTTGCAATTAACTTTATCTATCAATTTTCCTTAAATTATTTTTTTTTGGCTGCCAAGGAATTCATTATATATTCACAAGTGATATTTTTTAATTTCATAACTAATAATTGTCCTTGAATTACAAATAAATTTATGAGACTATTTATTCATTCACAATCAAATTTATGTAAATTCACTAATAACTTCTCTAAAATTCACAATAATTATCATTAAATTCATAAATGATGATTCTACCAAAAAAATTCATAAATGATGATGCATAAATTTACAAAAATATATATTCATTTACAATTAACTTTTCATTTATAACACTATTTAAATTCATAGCTAACATTGTTTAAATTTGAGTGACATTCCATTACCTATTTTAATGATAATATATTTTTTTTAATTCTAAATTAAAGCAATGTCCTAATGTAACATTTCAATAATTCAAAATCTTTAACTATTATTAATCTTTTAACATGATCTCTAATTGTCATTCTCGCAACAAAAAAAATGACACTATATCATAAAAACTTATGATGATGCTACGTTATAACCCTCTTGTTTTTATTTATAGAAAAAATTTATCACTTTTAATTTAATTTTTATATAAGCAAAAATTATATTTTCAATAAGTATTTATTGAGAACTTTTTAAATTACCTCTAATAATTTTATTATTCATAGTCATAAAAAATAATTAATAAGGTTTGATTAACACAATTAACAAAGAGTATTATAGTTTAATTCTTTTATTTTCAAATACAATTAATATAGTTAATTAATTTTATTAAATTGTGTGATATAATTTTTTTCTTACAAATAAAAATGAAAGGAGTGTCATATTAGCGGGTCAGACAATTCAAACAACAGAAATAAAGCCTTAGATACGCATTAAATCTGTTCATGATTTGAGGGCATTAATAAGGGAGAATGTCAAAGAGGTCTTAAAAAGATCAATTAATTTAAGTTAAGTTTTAAATATTAAATTCTAAAAATTTATAACTTAATATCTTAATTTTGTAAATGTGTTGTGATAAATTTTTAACTTTTTTTAAATTTTAACATGATTGAAAAATAAAAAATTATTTTTCTATTAAAATTTAAAATACAAGTTATAAATTTATGACAATATAATTATAAAATTAAAAAATTGAATTGTAAATTTTTAAACTTTAATACTTAAAAATTAATTTAAATTAATTGTTCCTTTTAAAAAAATTTCATCATTCTCTCCCATTAATAACTCCATCTCCATCAATATTTGCAAATTCCTTTGAAAGCGACAAGCGAAATGGGTCAGTTATAACTATAGGGTAATCATTCACGTGGCACCAATTGAGAACTTTTTTGGAGACGACGTGGCCTCATAATATTTCAGCAAGTGCACCTTGTACTTGATTATATATGTTTTTTGATCAAAGGGTACTCCTTCATAATAACACAAAATAGGTCCAGAAGTAATACAAAGCAAACGCCACAAAAACCAGACAAAGAAAGGCGAAAAATGAAATAACAAAGATTAACCAACGCCCATCTCATCCCTGGAAGTTGGAGGAAAAGTAGGAATTGGATTAACTGCTTCCCCATTAGAGGTCAGAAGAACAGACAAATAAAGTGTCAGGTTAAACACCCACTCTACTAAGCACATTTCTTTAGAAGCAACATGTCACACCTTAAAAATAAAAAGTGATCGACACGAGAGCAAATCACTTCATATATTTTCATAAGCTTTAAAATGAAAATTCTTTTTATTTTTTAAAAAAATAATCAGGCTATATGAAAATGCTAACATTTTTTATATTAATTGTCGTAATAAGGTTTCAACATTTTTGTAAAGATTTTGATAGAACCTCTCTTATAAATAGGATCTTCTAAAGATTTTATAACACAATTTTTTTTACAGAATATAGTATCAATCAGGAGCTTAACTCCTTCCAAATAGCAAACAGTATATAAATCAAAATGAGATCCTAACAACAATTTATGTGGAGCAACTAACCTTTTTTCTAAATTTAAAATACATGATTCTTAAATTTAGAAATTGACGATAGAATCAACATCAGCTAATGAATCTAAGACTAAAATAAATTTTTCAATGAATAGCACCCCCATAAAAAATTTCTAAAAAAATAAACAATAAATTCAAACAATTGTGTAAACTAGTTAAAAAGATGAGAATTCAATATGATGTATTTAATAAATGTATAAATCTTGATTATAACCATAAAAATGAGAGTAACTAAACACTTATTCCACCATGGTAGGAGAAGAGCGATATATATATATATATATATATATGTGAATCAAAATAACACACTAATAATTGAAACTATTAAATTTCAAATATATAAATTAATCCAAATTTAGTATGATGATGACTTAACAAAAATAGATAACAAACATGGAATATAATCCACGAAGGTAAATAACCGAACACAACTTGTGCCACGGAAACAAACACGAACACACAATCTATAAGAGTAAATAACCAAATGCAACAGCTACGAAACAAACATTGACACACAATCCCGAGTGTAATGCTAACCAAACACGACTCGAAGCCACGAAATCAACACAAGTACAATACCCACAAACAACAAATGTGAGAATAAGACTCATAGAATTCAAACTAATCATAACAAAGGCACTGAGGGCTAACAAAATTGTCGTTAACAACTAGTGTTATGTATAAAGTTCTCTTAAAATCACATTTTAAAAATGGGAGAGAAATAATTATTTCTAAAATAAAATTTTTATTCTCAATACCAAACTCACATAAA